AGGCACCTCTAACAGTTATAAGTACAGTGTAAAATCATCCATAAGTTACTCATCAAATAGTTTCACGACTCCTATCAAATTGAAACAAAGTCCAAGAAAGGAAGTAACAAAATTGAGATGGAACTATCGCTATAAAAATTCATAATTTCTTTTGTAAAACTCAAGTCCAGGTGAGACCCGAGTGGTAGTGGACTCATCAATCCAACTACTACAATATAACATACAAGTCTAACCATAATAAGAATTTAATGAATTATCTCCCTCATGACACACAAAAAGTAAATCAAAACACTAACAATCCTAACATCTACTAAACGTCAAGCAAACATATCAATCCACACTAAAGAAAACACAATACAATACTAACAATCATGAATCATGACTCTTAAGCATGAAACCACACAGATAACTATGGGTTGCCTCCCATAAAGCGCTTGATTTAACGTCGCTAGCCCGACAAATGATTCCACCTGGATCAAAAGTCCAATTAAGTAATCTTTGATCAATAGCCCGTTTGAATAGAAGATTGATTCCAAGGAATCGTATCCTGAAGCTTCTGAAGGCGAAGGGACATCTAAAGAAGGAGTTAGATTTTTACAACTACATTGCACTTTCTGAGATGAAATTTATGAACAAATTTATATTTCCTTATCAGAAAAAGATGCCAAAGCTCCTTGATGTTTATGTCTCTGCTTCTGCTGAGAAGGTTCTGAGTTAGTACTGTTTCTTATGAAGAAAGCAGGCGTTGCAAAGATAATATCAGGTATTTGATCTTCTATGTTACTCTTCTATTTCAAATTATCTTTAAATTCTTCAGGAATTTCTTCCATTGATCTTTCAATTTCCCTGTCCTTATCTCTCAACTCAAAGCTCTTTTGAAACAAATCCTCAAATTCTCTTCTAAATATCAGTTCAATAATTTTAAATTGCTCATAATTCATTTCCTTAGGATTTATCTCAGAGTCACTAGGTAAAATCTCTGGGGGGTAACTGTTAATTGCATTAATAATC